CGGTCGAGCCCTGCGCGGCGAGGTAAGACTCCGCCGGGCGGCTGCGGCGCCGCTTGGAAAGTAGAGTGGCCCGGAGCCACCCCCCGCGCGCCGCAGCCGGCCCTGATTGGGCTGGGAAGGAGCGCGCTGCCCGCCCCGCCGCCCCTCTCCCCGCCCCGCGCGGGGGCGAGTCCTCCCCGCTCGGGCTGGTGGAGGGGAGTAGCCTGCGGCCCCCTAGCGAGGCCACGCTCGGCGAGCACCCCAGCCCTGCCGTGGCCACCTTGCAGCCAGCAGGGGGAGGGCGAAGGGCCCGGAGGATGAGCTGCGTGGGGGGCTTCATAGGGGAGCTGAGCCCTGCACGCTCCCTGAGTAACCCCCCACGCAGAATCCAACCTGGCCCTGCTGGAGCTTAGTGCATGAGTCTCTGTGGATTCCCAGCAGACTCATTATTCTCTCTGTAACTCCTCTCCCGGCAGGGGAGACGGGACAGTACCACACCCAGCAGGTGTGGGTGACACCTGTGCACATTGGGGTTACATGGCTTTGTAGTAATTTAGTCACTTTGAGATCCATTAATGGAGTGTCTGGGCAGGTTAAAGTGTTCCCCACCAGGTTTCTGTATGTTACCATTTCGGATATCTGATTTGTGTCCATTAATCCTTTGATGTAAAGTTTGTCCAGTTTAGACAATTTCAAAAAAAACAGCTGGAAAGAGGTGCTGCAGAAATCGCCTTCATCTGCAAATTTGACCCATTTAAGATCTGTACAAAGATCTTACTTGGATGGGCTACTACATTCAACATCCTAATGACATTACAAGTTAAGTATCAGGCATTTACAGCCCACTCTATTAGCCTCATTTAGCACAGACACTCTAATGGACACATTTTTTCCCCTTCCCTTTCCTTCTCCATCCCCTCTAATGGACAATTTTTTCCCCTTCTCTTTCCACCCCATCCCCTCTTTTTCTGCTGTTTATTTGCAACTCTGGACCCCTTGCTCCATTCACCTGAAGAAGTGGGTTGTGCCCATGAAAGCTCATGATACCATCTATATGTGTGTGAGTTTCTAAGGTGCTACAGGACCATTCATTGATTTAAGTTTTTTCAGTTACACACTAACACGGCTACCCCTCTAAGACTATTTCTTAGTAGTAACCATACAAAGAGAGTCACTTAAGGCAGGGTCAGGAGGCTATACCGAAAGAGAGAGCGAGATCTCACCACTGTATGAAGCTTGAATTGATCGGGATTCCCAGATGAGGTGATGGGAATTTTAATTGCCATGTTACAGATGAGAAACCCAGCAAAAGGATTAAGGTGTTAATCCTGCAACTTTTCAGTCAATGGGAGAGACCCTTCTGACTCTAACCTACATGATTTGCCCCAGGTAAGCAAGATAGTCAACCTATAGGAAAAGGATTAGAACTCAGCAGTCGCCAGTCCTGTCATCCAACCACCTCTTCTCACCAGTCTCAGTCATCTCAGCTGGAGGCCATGCTAACAGAATCCATGCTGCTGATCAGCTTTTAGCTGTGCAGTTACCCTAGACCACTGGCTTATACCTTCTGACACCTCCCAGAACTGTGTCACTGTCTCACCAAGATGAGCCAGAGTGTGTCCTAGAGCTGTTAAAGTTTTTTGATGATTGGAACAGTTAAAAGGCTCATTACTTCTAACCATGTTTATCCATTTTTAATTTTGCTGTTTGCAAAATTAGTGGATGCACATTTTAAATAAACAGCTACTGTGCAGTTAAACAATGATTAAAGAAGAGTCCCATTTAAATTATTAAGTGGTTAGATAAAAAGCCTCCCTTCTCTTTTGTACACTACTTTGTTCAGAAGTCAAACTTCTGTAGTCTCACTGAATGCTAATGAACAGCATAATCATGCACAAGGGCAAGAGCAGGCTGATTAATTAAAAACAGAAGCCAAAAATCAAAGGTCTTAAAATAGGCTTAAAAATAATTCAATTATACATTACAAGCCTAGAATAACCAAGGCACGTACCACACTTTCATTCATCATTCTACCCCATTGTAATATCTACACTTCCTTGCTTGTACACAGGAAGTAGTGCTAATTGGGTCTTTCAGGTGTGACGCTTACATAAGAAGACAACAAAAACCTGGTGCTCACGACCAATTTTCATCTTCTGTACCTTGAAAAATAGCTACACGTGACTAAGTGAATTCTCAGTTTAATAGATTTACTAAACTATTTTTAGGCATGACCCATTTCTGCAGTTGTTGAATAGTTCACTGCTCTAGCCCTTTATGCATTAATTAATTCAAAGTTCCATACCCTTAATGTTAGCCTCCTCACAAATCCACCTCTGGTCTCTCCACTTGGTATCACCTCTTCCTGCTGCTCTGCATCTTCCTCCTTTACATCCTTTTGCAGGCATATGCCTTGGTGGTGTGAGCAGGATCTTTCTTCTTTTGGGTTTGCAGTATTTCACTTCTATAGCCTGAGCAAGGACTTTTGCTTTCAGTTTTTATCTTCTTTAAAATTCCTGGGGAATTTATCATGTTCATTAACATTTCAAACTGATGAAAATCAGTGCAAAAATTAACTTCTGTGTTTTCTGGGTACATACTGGGGTTAATATTAGGGACCTGGAGGACAGAAAAAAACAGCAACACAAAGAGAAAAGTAAGCACACTGAAAGTAAAAGCAGTTTAGTGCTGTGGTTTATTTAATGAAGAGAGAGAGAGAGAGAGAGACAGAGACAGAGAGAAATTGTCCACTACATCGCCATATTTTAACAGACAACATTCCATTTACATTTAGACTATAGATGAATATAAACATGCTAACTACTTTAATGTATTCTGTTTTGTTAATATAACCAGTATTACTTGAGTGGCCCAAAATCCAGGTTAAAAAATTGTTAAAAATAATAGTTTTTATAAAATCTAGGAATTTTTCAGTGAAAAAAATTCTTTAAAAACTGCAAATGAAGGCCCTTAAGCACAAGACAGCTGGATGTAGCAATGATGCAAATCAGGTCATTAATAAAGTACCTTACCCTGTTGGGGCAGTGTGGGGAGCATCGGAGGTCCTGAAGCAGTGCAGTAATTGAATCCAGAAAGGCATTGTGTCTCCCGTGGTAGGGGATAGCTGTTCTTCTAGCAGAATGAAATTCTCCCTTGTCAGAGGTCCAGCATCAAAGCCAGTGCAACTTGTAAACCCTCCGAAGAGTGCTTGAGTGGGATTTAAGTGGTGCACAGAGAGAAAACAAAGCAAAAAGGCAGCAGGGTAGCACCTGGTCTTGGTAGAGAGTGAAAGAGCCCCAAGGAATAGCATTGACAGCAAACACTCTGTAAAAAGGGACAGGGCTTTTAGGTAGCAAGAACAGATTAGGCTGTCATTGAGGAAAGAGACATATTCTTCAGGGGAGGAGGACCAGAAAGATGTGGAAGGTGAACAGTAGGTGACATAAATCAGGCTTCACAAATCAATGAGAGGTGGATCAGGCCCGAAGTCAGGAGCCTTAGTACAGAGCTGGAGTTGTGGGACTGAAGCAGGTGGCCAGTATAGATTAAAATAAATAAAGGAAAGATAAGAAGAGCTCTGTGTGGCACGAAAGCTTGGTCTCTCTCACCAGTGGAAGTGGGGCCAGTAAAAGATACTACCCCATCCATTTTGTCTCTCTAAGGAAGAGAGGTTTTCTTTTTTAATGTATACTTGGAGGCAGGACCACCAGGTCCTTTAAATCACGGCCGGATTTAATCACCTGCACAGCATGCTGCAGCAGCACTTAGGGCTGGCTAGGGAAGGTGCGGAGCAGTCCGGGTAGCACTGGAGGCTGGCTATCTTAGCCCTGCTCCTCCCGGAGACAAGCCTCTCCCCTTGCCCAGGACCTAGGGAAGTCTTCTCGCCAGCCCTGTGTGGAAGGACAGATCTGAACCTGTGTGGGTCTGCCCAGTACACTGTTGGTGCAATAAATAATAATCATAGTAATAATTAATAATGATGATGTATAGTTCCAAAAGAGGTTATCAGCCACTCCCTGCACACCAGTGCAGTTGACACAATAAAGAGGGGCTATTCCATCTCATCATGAACAAGGAAATCAAAGGAGGATGTAAGACAGGAAGCTGTTTGCCTGAGGGTCTAGCGATGGAGCCCCAATCAATCATCAATCAAGCCCCGTGAAACAATGGAGGCAGTGAGAACGGTCCTCGTTCAGTGATGGGAATGGTGCTGTTTAGCTTGCAGGGACACACGCAGCGTTCTCTCTTTGGGCACAGAATTATGGCAGTGGCAGACATAAAAGGCCATGGAGGCACCCTTGTATTAATTGTGTGTGCCAAATACACTCACGTATCAAACCTCAACTTTCTGAAAATCAATCTCCATCTTATTTAGCATCTTACATATGTATGGCCACAAAAACCACTCGTGGTACTCTAATGAGCATGAAAGTTGAGAAAAGTTCCTCACTCTCTCTCTCAATCAAAGAACAGACTGTATGTCAGCACTGTGCAAAACAGGGTCAAACCAAAACCTGGATGTTTACGTTTCCACTGTCGGACAGCCATTATTCTACTTCCAGAAGTTAGTATTGAGAACAGGAGGTTTCAAACTAGGGCTCATGACCCAATACTGGATTGCAGAATGTTAGGCACTGGGTCTTATTTCTGCAAGGTGGCCACTGGGGGTGCTAAGGCAGCTCCCTGACAGTCCTGGCACCACAGGCTGCACTGTGCCCCAGATGTGGCTGTCAGCAGGCCCAGCTCCGGAGAGGGAGAGCACACAGGGCTCCACACACTGCCCCTGCTCTGAACACTAGCTCCACACTCCCGTTGGCTGGGAACCTGCTGCTGGCTACTTCTGGGCACAGCATGGTCTGCGGTGCCAGGAGAGGCAGGAAGCTGCCTTAACATCCATGCTGCACCTGCCCAGGAGCAACTCAAGGTAAGGCCTTCCTGCCCCAGCCCTGCCCTTCCAAAGCCAGAGCCCCCCCTATACCCCAAAGCTCTCATCCTCAGTCCACACTCGAGTCAACTTATGTAGGGTCGCAGGCATCAACAATTTTCTTCAACTGGGTCATGAAAAAAAAAGTTTGAAAACAGCTGGCCTAGACTTAGTTGAGCTTCTGAAAATAAAAGACCAACTTAATGATATGTGAATCTTTTCCGAAAATCTTGATCTACAGCAGCATCCTGCAAAGGAGAATTAGGGACATGTGTGCATTATGATGAATAGACATTTAACACCACATGGTGGTGCTGAAGTAGGGGATCCCTTGAGTTTCATTTTCCTCAAGGGGAGCTTACAAAAGCTGGGAAAACCCCATTTCTAAACCCCTCTGGGGATGGGTAGAAGTGTTAAACTTTTCTGAACTTGGGAAGAAGTGATGTGAAAAGGATACTGTCAAAGTAAAATAATTATCCAAGCACAGACAAAAATCGGGGCCCCCTATTTTCTGTTATCAGGTGCTGGGATGAAATGCACTGGTAGCTGTGCAAGTGGCGTTCTTTGGCACAATCAAGTGCAGTTAACTAAAACAGCATGAGTCACTCATAAAGAGAACATCTTTTCCTCAGTATGGATCAGTCTTCCTCACTTTACTAGCATTGCATGGTCAGTGGGACCAACCATAGAAGTAACGCAAGCAGCTGTGGCCTCCTACATCCATCTGACTTCAACCACATCCTAACAGTCGGTGAATAAACTACATTTTATTAAACATGTAATCACTGAGGTCAGCTCATACGAGTGGAACCACAGAATAAACCCCAATGAGGCAACTGTGGAATCATCTTCTGATTTACATGTGAGATCAATACCTGGCGCTACAAGTTAATGTCCCCCCATTTGACAGATTTGAATAAGCAGTGATACTGTGCCTCACTCAAACTCTCTAGCAAGACAGCTGAATATTTTACAGGGGTGGGAAACTTCAGGGCCAGGGGCCACATCCAGCCCCTGATGCTCAGGAATTCCCCCTACACATAGCAGGGAGCAAGTGTGGGTGCTCCAGCCCTGTGGCCCCCCCTTATGGTCCTCCTCCACAGGAGCTGAAGCACCAGCACCGCGTCCTTGCTGCAGGATGGAGGATGAGCCCTGAACCACGTGGGCCAGAGTCAGGCAAACCCAGGGCTGAATCTGTTTGACCCACGGGCTTTTCCTGGTGGGGTGAGGAAACGGCTCTGTACGCTGCCACACCCTTTCCCCCACCCCCTCTCTGGAGAAGTGGCAACGCAGCAAAGCACTGCCTGGAGGCTTTTTCCCCCAACGCTCCAATTGGCTATAACCACAGCCAATAGGAGCAGCAGGGGGTGGTGCCTGGGAGTCGCAGGAGCTCTGTGCTTCCCACAGGAGCTGCACCAGGTAAGTGCCCCGTTCCCGTCCAGATGCTCCTCCCCTCCCACACAACACACACAGCCCTCCCACCCTCAAGCTGCTCCTGCACCCTCCTATCATCCCAGACCGCACACCCAAAGCTCTCTTCCTGGAAACCCCCTCCCATGCACTGAACCCTTCAATTTTGGGCTCCACCCCAGAGTCTGGTGGTCCCCACAAAATCTACTAGTCCAGGCTCCCCTAGCCTCTGGTGTGTGAGGGGAATGTGTGGAGTGTCTCCGCTTCTCAGTCGGGGGGCGATTTCCTTCTCCATTTTGTATCTCTGACTGATTTTACTGTGGGTCAGCAGCCCCCAACCCCAGAAAAACTCCTAGAGCAGTGTTGGGGAACATCTTACCCTCATAATGTTCTGTGTACCAGTAAATAACAACTCTCCCGTGAGAAGAAAAGATGGCAGCGCTTCATCTTCCAGATCATCAAGTTCAATTCTGATGAGCAACCTGGCACACTTATCTATGTCTGTATATTTAATTCATGGCTAAATGCATATCCTTTTGCACTTGACAGTTCAGTGTCTACCAGGCAAGTGAAGTACAGGCCAATACTGACTATATCCTGGATGTCTGACTGGCATTTGTGCACCCCGCCCGTCAACATTGGATGCTGAGGTCTAGACTTGATTTTCTCAGTAAGAAATTAATCAGAATCCATCTGTTTCCTCATCATTCGGGTCAATTTCATTACTACTAAACCAAAGATTATAGGATTCTCATGTCTGTGGTGTTTGTTCCCTCCCCTCTCCCCCGCACAAGCACACACATACCAGTTTTGGTCCTGTCCAAACTGAATGCTTAAAGCTGCTTACTTTAAGTAAGATTAGAAACAATCAGGGAGGAGGCATAATGACAGTGACCAGGGGCTAACGATTGCTCTGTTACCCCCAGATCAACCCGAATACAGTTTGTTTGAATTCATTTCAGAGTAACTCAGAGAAGAATCCGAACCTCAGTCTTTAAATATGTGCTTCTGAGACTGAAAGTTATATAGCCCAGTGAAAGGCTACACAGTGCTTCCAAAATGATCACTCTGCATGTCTTTATTATATATCTGATAACACACACACAAGTGCCTAGCACAATAAGCCCCAGCTATTTAATTGCACTACCCCAGTACAAGTAACCCTGAAACTCCCTCATAGTCAAATATCCAGCCAAATCTGTTTATCAAATGCTTTAACTAAGTATGTTCCCCTTTCTGGATCTAGTGGATTAATAGGGGAGAACTGGACTTCATGACTCCCTGGACTTAACATAATTGTGATGATAAAATATCGTGTACTGATGGATGTGTTTGCTTCAAGAACAATGAGGGGAAATGGAAAAAATCCTCCAGGAAAGAAACCCAAGGCATGGAATGTCACAAAGAATCTGCTACTGGACTATTGGGTAACAGAGCCAAACATGATTCCTAAATGACATAGAAGCTAAATCTATGCTTCCAAATATTTTTCAGAGTCATAGAATCCTAGGGTTGGAAGGGACTTTGGAGTCATCGAATCCAAACCCTGCTAAAAGCAGGACCAACCCCAACTAAATCACCCCAGCCAGGGCTTTGTCAAGCCAGGACTTGAAAACCTCTAGGGATGGAGATTCTTATGTTGGCTGGTCAGGAGAATCATCAGCTCCCAATATGAACCTGTGACCAAAAGAGCTAATGAGATCCTAGGATGAATCAACAGGGAATCTTGAGTGGGAATAGAGAGATAATTTTATCTCTCTATTTGGCATTGGTGTGAATGATGCTAGAATACTGTGCCCAGTTCTGGCATCCACACTTCAGGAAGGATGATGATAAATTGGAGAGCGTTCAGAAAATGAGTCAAAGATTAGAAAACAAGCCTCAGATGATAGACTCAAAGAGTTTACTCAGTTTACCTTAGCAAAGAGAAAGTCCAGCAGTGATTTGATAACAGTCTACAGGTCTCTACATGGGGAACACATATTTAAGTTCTTTGGTCTAGCAGAGAAAGATCTAGCATGGGCCAGTGACTAGAAGCTGGAGGTAGACAAATTGAGACAGGAAATAAGGTGCACATTTTTAACAGTGAGAGTAATTGACCATTAGAACAACTTGCCAAGGTTTGTGGTGGAGTTTCCATCACTGACAATTTTTATATCAGGAGCAGATATTTGTTTCTAAAAGATGAGTTCTAAAAATTATGGGGGGGGGGCAGTTCTGTGCCCCATGTTATACAGAAGAGCAGATAGATGATCATATTTGTCCCTTCTGGCTTTGGAATCTAGGAATGCCATACAAGGGATTGAAACAAAAAACAGGACTATGTAGCACTTTAAAGACTAACAAGATGGTTTATTAGGTGATGAGCTTTCATGGGCCAGACCCACCTAATAAACCATCTTGTTAGTCTTTAAAGTGCTACATAGTCCTGTTTTTTGTTTCAGCTACACCAGACTAACACAGCTACATTTCTAACACAAGGGATTGTGAGTCTTTGTCCTAGTTTTGATAAGAGCCTACTACATCTAGATAAGAGCCTACTACATCTGCCAACTAACGGAGCTTCTCCATCAGCTCATAATTATAAGCTAGGCGTCATCAGTGGAAGCTCATAATTATAGGCTAGGTGCCAATTCAGCGAGTTACATAAGCATGTGAGTTGACTTGAATGGAACTGCTCCTATGATCAGGATTAGAGATACATCTAAGTACCTTGTTGAACTAGAACCTTGCTGCTGCAGGTCTCAACCCCAGTGACAGGTAAGTGGGTTAGGTGACATGGGTACAAAGCAGCAGTAGCCATCAGAGGAAGTGCAGGAATCTTCCCGCAGGGCAGAAGTCTCCGGAATCCCAATTATGCTTTTCTCGTTACGGTGCAATAGACGGCGACTCCTCTGAAAAAGACAAATGCAAGGAACAAAGAGCAGCAGCACAGAAGACCGCCCTGAAATCTGACTATCATGGAAATAAGGTGAGATGTAGCCAGGAGCGGAAGTTAATCCACACATGGGAGCTATCATCGGAAACAGAGAGGGGCAGACCTGGAGAATGGTGCCACTGGATGAGGTTTGAAGGTGACAGTGGACATCAAGTTAGACACCAGTTGCCACTAGGACACTGAACAGAACAGGCCAATACAGAGCCAGGAGGTTTCTGCGGAATACGGCTGCAGCCCAGAGCTGGCAATCCAGAGCTATACACACACCAGAATCTGGGAACCCTTTGACTGCACACGTGACTCCACTTCCTGTCTGTGAACATGCGTTTCCTAGGAACGGGGCTAACAGGGCTCTCTCTCTATCACTGAAACAAGAGCAGCAGTGTGGGGTCATTCCCTTCCCCCCCCACAGTTGCAACATCCACAACACACACATAGAGGGTGCTCTGTAATTTTACTCAGCAGCCAGGGTATATTTGGAAAGGTGAGTTGGCCTGCTGCAGTGTTCTCCCCATCATGCAGAATCCTTCGCTGGGGTGAGGCTGGT